CACGCACGCACGCACACACACGGTTGAGCAATGGTTGAAGTGCCCTGATGACCGGGACAGGGGGCGATATCGACTTCAGACAACCTTTGACCCTTTGCTGACGTCAAAAGTGGGAAAAATCATGTATCCACAGCATTTGGGTCAGATAGCTGAGGAACACTGAGTGATTCAGTCGAAAATTTCTGGTGAGTCAGATTTTGAGTTGGAGAACAGTTTATGTTTTTCATAATGTAATTTACCAACTCAGATGAACTTTCATGGTTTTGTATCCTTGTTGTCGTTTCTGTCCTAGTAGTCAGACCTTGAGAAGCCATGACGGGAAGGGGCCGCAGTCGAGGCAGGAGCCGGGGCAGGGGAAGGGGAGCTTCGGACGAACCCCCACCACGCCGACCAGGCGGACTTCAACCTCCAGGAGGTAAGCTAGAGATATTAAATTATTTATTGGTTCATTTGTATATCAAGAACACATCAACAAGATATCTTGCAGCCTTGACATACAGGGCTGAATTCTGATGTTTGTTTACAATATCAAATAATAATTTATATAATATATACCCAAACCTCTGCTTGGAGAGTAAGTTAGTCCGCCACCCACTTGAAAGTGAAGTCTGCCATGTTTGACTGCCTTGTCGTCCTTTCTCAGTCCCGCCCACACCCCAGCTGGAGGCCCTGACCCTGGGGGAGCGCGCCCCAGGGGTGGGGGGGACAGGAGGAGGAGATATGGAGGGGTGGTGGTGGAGGTACCCCGCACCAGACCTGAGCACATGGAGGACAAGAAAGGTGAGCCTGGGACAAAATTACAGCAGCCTTGTTAACCAAAGACTTTATGTACACACTTCTTGCTATGCTTAGCACTACTCAGCACATATGAGAAAGAGTGTGGGAAGGTCAAACACACGCACTACCAGCGGACTAGCCCCCTGCTATAGTGTCAGGACCCGGGCGTATCGCGTTTTAATTCTACCTAATACAAATCATTAAGTGTAATCGCTACTGTAGCATAATACATAGCTGGCTCTTAAAATTTAGCATAGAGCATCATTAGACCCCCCATGCAGGCCCCCTAAAATCTCTTATTTCTTGTTATGGCTGTAAGGCACTACAGGAATTTCTTAAGGGTGAAGCCAAACGGCTCCATTTGTCTTACCGAGGGACGACTACGGCATGATAGAAGTTCAAATTGGTCGGTTCAGATTTCTTACTTCTTTTTCCCCAAAAGTCTGAAATGTCGATCTGATTTCTCCTCACCACAGGTACTTCCGGAACCCCTGTCAGCATGGTAACTAACTTCTGCAAGGTGAAGACGCAGACCGATCGGGTCCTGTTCCAGTATCAGGTCGAGTTCTCGCCGGACGTCGACAACCGCAAGGCTCGCATCGCCATGGTCTACAGTCAGGAGGATCTCTTGGGGGATACCAAGATCTTTGATGGGAAGATCCTGTTTTTGCCCAAGAAACTGGAAAATGATGTAAGAATATGGTTACACTGTGATTATTTGCTCACCATTGAAAAAATGCAAAAGTAAAAAAAAGTAAAACACTGCCTAGAGTTAGATGTTCAAGGGTTAGGTGTAACAAGTCGATCGGTGAAATGTAGCCAGCTGCCGCTGTGCCGCGTGCCTGCGAATCTGGTGTTTTACGCCAAAAGGCGGTTATACCGACTATACCGATGCAGATGCAGATACGAAGTAATGGTTTTCCTTTTCCGTTGACTCTAGAAAACGGTGTTTACAACCGAGCGAAAGACGGACGGCGCGACCATAACGATCACAATCACGCTGACCAACGAGGTCCCTCCGACGTCGCCGGTCTGTCTCCAGATCTACAACATCCTGTTCCGCAAGTTCCTGAAGAACATCGGAATGCAGAGGGTGAACCGCAGCCACCACAACCCCACTCAGAAGATAGACATGAAAGCTCACGGGTCAGAAATTTATCTATAAAACAAAGAATGCCGGTGTCAAGTCACGGTACTTTTGTTGTAGTACATGAAGCAGAAAAAGAATAGCTAGCCGCTTGTATAAATATCAATGGTGTATTGTTTGTAACATATGATAATATTGTCTACATGTGGAAAAGGTAGGTATGGCCTGGGTTTGTGCCCTTTAGTACCTGACACTTGAGGATGATTGATTGATTGATTGATTGATTGATTGATTGATTGATTGATTGATCTCCCTCCAGACTGGAGGTTTGGCCAGGGTTCGTGACCTCCATTCTTCAGTACGAGGCTAACGTGATGTTGATGGCCGACGTCTCCTACAAGATCCTGCGTACCGACACTTGTGTATGATTGATTGATTGATTGATTGATTACCCCCCAGACTGGAGGTATGGCCAGGGTTCGTGACCTCCATTCTTCAGTACGAGGCTAACGTGATGCTGATGGCCGACGTCTCCCACAAGATCCTGCGTTCCGACACCGTTCTGAGTTTCATGTACGAACTGTATGGCCAGGTGGATCCAGAGCGCTTCTACGAGATATGCTCCGGGAAGCTTGTGGGAGAGATAGCCCTGACCAGGTGAGATTTACTGATGATTATTATAAGGCCACACCAATTTAATTTGTTGGTTCTCGGATTTTTTCAGAAAAAATATGAAGCGACATCAGCAAAACTAAAGATGTTTTTGTTTTCATGAACACACTGTCCTTACACAGGGACCCATTTGAGGTCACAAATAGGCATAAAATTGGTGTGAAATTGTTTAGGTACAGTACCGGTACTGAGGGATTAGGTATTTTGGACCTGTACCTAATCAATTTTTCCGGTACAGTACCGGTACACAGCTCTACTTTAGAGTGTCCTTGGGAAAGGCACTTCACACCTATTTCCTCACATGACATGTGGAAATGAGTACCAGTAGCTTGAGTTAGGGACGTCCTCTTAGATCGGACTTGGAGCCAGAGGTCCCTAAGTTTACCGGTCACTCGTAATAAACAAACAAAACAATATAAACAAACAAAATATTCCATCTTGTTCCTATACAGGTACAACAACAAGACCTACAGGATTGATGGCATCAGTTGGGAGGAGCACCCAACCGACAAGTTTAGCTTGCCTGACGGGACGGAAATCAGCTTCGTGGAGTACTACGAAAAACAGTACAACCGCAAGATCCAGGACAACAAACAACCTCTGCTCCTCAGCAGGGCCAAGAAAACAGCAAGTCATCATCGTGTTTGTTTGTTTGTTTGTTTGTTTGTTTGTTTTGTTAAGATGACAGCAAGGTGGCATGTGAAACAAACAAAAAGATCTCCATTTAATGTCCATGCCCATAGCCAGGGGGGATTCGGGGGGTTCGGAAGGTCCACATTTTATGTAAAGGTCCAAGATTTTTCTTGAAAAGATGGACTGGAATCGTAGAAAAACTGCTGCCTTTGTCATTGAATAAAAATTTATCTCTGATTTTTTCTTGGAAATCCTTTCAAAAATGCATGAAATGACATTTTAAAAGGTTCAATTTTCAAAATTTTCCAGGGGATCATGCCCCCCTAGACCCCCCATGACCCCCCCATGACCACCCTAGGAACCTCGTACCTACGGCGCTCGCTGGTCCCTCAAGCAGTGGGAAGAACCCCCCATTCTAAATCCTGGCTACGGGCATGGTACTTAACGATGTCCCATTTTCACAATATGTTTTTCCTGCTGTTACAGACGAAGGATGGCAAAGTCCTGATCCTGAAGCTGATTCCTGAGCTCTGTTCCCTGACAGGTAGGCCAAGTCTTAACTTTAGGCCACACCAAGTAAATCTTATGGATGACGTCCGCGCGCGCATTGATTTTGGCTTGTTCCTAGAAAAAAAACAAGAAATTCCGCTTCCTGTAACTATGATCAAAGAGTCACGACAATGCCGCAAATCGTTAGATTGACGTGAAACCCGTAACGCGAAATGGGTAAAGAGCACATGCTTTGTTTCTGCAGGCCTGCAAAAATGTGAAAGAAACAGGACAGGACGACAACTGCTGTTCCACCTGATTTATTGCTGTTTTGATGATGAATAAAAGACTTCTTGCTTGTTAATCTGTGTCACCTCATTCAATTTGTGTCCTAACATTTGTCGTCTCTTAGTATATTTCTAATCTAGGCATCTTGTTTTGTAGGGCCATTCTTGTTTTTTTTTCGCCCTCTCACATTAGATATAGGTTCTCCAAAGGACGTCATACATAAAATTTACTTGGTGTGGCCTTATGTTTAAAAACAGTACCTGCGCAGTCACAGCCTTTATACAGCTGAATTCATGCAGGGTTTACAATCACATAATAATCAATAATCACATGAATGAATGAACAGGAAAATTTGGAATATGTACATGTTTTTATTCTTCAATCAGTAACTGTTAGTGTAAGGTAAAATCACGTACCTCCAAATTTTCGGTACACGGTGTCGACTGTACGTCTTGATCATGGAGTAACCTTCTGGCGAGAACATGAGACTAGGTTGATACTTGTTTAGATCTTCTGGCCTCCCCCGCCTCCTTGCTGAGTAGGGGTAAATAGGACTTGGGCAGCTCCCAATTCAACCCGGCACGTTCCAACAGGATGTGGAATGTCTTGTGTTCTCGCGAGACTCGGTCACTCCGTGAACAAGGTGTATAAGTCGACACGATTTTACCTTACAAACACAGTCACTGATTGATGATATTCGACTAACTGTTAATTCCATGTGACTGATGAACCTCTTCAAGACTTCAATGGTACATGTTTTTCTCTCCAACTATGCAGGTTTGTCTGACGAAATACGTCAGAACTTCTCAGTGATGAAGGACTTGGCTTCCCACACTCGCCTCGGGCCTGGAGACAGCAGCAAGGCACAGCAGGGCTTCATCAGCCAACTCAACAGGTGTTTTTTTTGTTTGTTTGTTTTTGTTTTGCACCCAGACATGTCCGGACTTGCACCCAGATGTTGTGCCCTTGCGAAAGGCATTTAACATGCATTTCCCCCCTCAGTTGGAGGGTTCCTGAGCCCTACTAGGGTTTGGGTTGGCGTTAGGAAGAGCATCCAGCCGAAAAAATCTTCCTTCAAAAAAAGACTATGTACCTGGTGCAAGCACGTCTAACCCCCAGTTGGGGAAAAATGGCATAAAATTAAGTTAAAAAAAAACAAACAAAAAAACGGTAAACCATCTTTTTGTACATGTAAGTACAAGCTGCGTAAAATCAGACTGTAAGGTCTGAACCACTCATACTGGGATGTCCTTGGTTTAAACATGTAACTACTTACAGTGGGCCTCAGTGGAAGATGTCCAGACTATGCATGATGTACAAAATGACTAATAAACTGGTGGATGTCCCACTACTAAGTACCTAATACCAGCCCAGAAGAGAACAAGAAATAGCCATGCCTTCAAGTACCTGAGTTATCAACCAAGGATTGAGGACTGTTCAAGAATTCATTGTTTCCTAGAACTATCGCAGAGTGGAACTCGCTGTCCAAGACTTAGTACAGTAGGGGCATTGTCAATAGATAGCTTTAAACAATGTCTAGAGCTAGAAGTTCAAGGGTTAGGTGTAACAAGTCGATCGGTGTAATACAGCCAGCAGCCGCCGCGCCGCGTGCCTGCAAAGCTGGTGTGTTACGCCGAAAGGCGGTTATACAGATACAGATAAAGTAATACACAGATGAACTTTCATGATGGTATAATTACATTGTGCCTTCCTTTACTACAGCAACCCTGATGTGCAGAAGGAGATGAAGGGTTGGCAGATCGAGTTTGATCAGAACTTACTCCAGCTGGATGGGCGCACGCTGCCGGCGGAGAAACTCTTCTGTGGGGATGGACACGAAGTAGGTCTTCAAGATTTGTTCTAGATTATTTTTACTTAGTGGTCGCCACGTAACACGGCCGTTAGGCCACTTCAAGGTGAACGGTGCTACGACCTGTATCACCCACTCACCTGGGTTACGGGTTACCGAGTAGAACTGTAACTGTAATTCTTCTCCCTGAGTCAGAAACATCAGGATTGAGACCAGCCCAATTTCTCACCAGTAGTGAGGACTAACTGTCACTGACCCAATAGGAGAAGCAGGGGTTACAAGGCTGGTTGGGAAAATTTTCTACCCCTTTTTTAGACCATAATGGTTTGTTCCACTTCCAGTCACGTGGGTTCTTAGAAATCAATTTTTCTCAGGAGAAAAATGGGACCAAAATGAAAGCCTGATACTTTGAGTATTGTTAGAATTTCTTAGAAATAAGAACACTCTTAGAAATAAGAAAACTCAATGAATGAAGACTTAGTTCTACTTTACTTGTCTCAAAAGTATGATGATGAAGACATTCAGGTAAAACATGACGTCACACATAGTAAATCCGAATATAACTGGATAAATTCTGGAAGGGTGACTCATTTCAGATAGCATCCTTTATCAGGGACCTAAACCCGTCTTCGCAGCTACATCTAAAAGAGGGCCTGCATGGGGGGTGGTGATTACGAATTACGTTTAAGTCTCAGAGCTGATTACGACTTTTTCCGCTTTCATGGCTTTGCAGTTAATGTTCTGTTACGGATTACATTGATTTTGGGGAAGGCTGCCTACGGATTACGAAGACTAAAAAGGCCTGATTACGCCTTACGAAAAAGGGCATGCAGGCCCCCCTAAAACGTTTGCCTCCTCAGGTCAGATCAAGGTGCTAGCATAGACTTGTTTTGCATTGCATAGCTCCAGATAACCCAGCAAGTGGGTTCGATCCTTCTTGGGACGCATCGACTGAGATTTTTTTGCGTGGTTTGCTTTCCAGTTTAGTTATGACCGTAGTGCCGAGTGGTCGCGTGAGTTTCGGGGTAAGACCCTGCTCAGCACCCGGCCGCTGAAGGACTGGCTACTCATCTTCACCAAGAGAGATGCCCAGATTGCAAACGACTTCAAACAAACCCTGGAAAAGGTGGCAGGCCCCATAGGCATCCAGGTCTCCAACCCTGTCATGTAAGGCACTAGTATCATCATTATCTTGCAATTGGATGTTAAGTTTGGATGTTACCCTTTTCTTTTTGTACGTAGTACTATGATATGATAACTCAGCAGTATACTGGTAATTGCAGAGTAGACAGGAAATTTGGGGGGATTTTTCTGGATCCAAAAGCCGGTACTCATGCCTGATAAACAAAAGAAGGGCTGACATTCTGATGTTGATTATTTTTCTATTGGCCCATTAATGTTCCAAAGTGTCTTTTTAGTCCCAGCCTGAATTTTAGTGGCCTGTGGCCATCGGTCCCTTGTGTGTGTTGCAGGGTTGACATTGAGGATGACCAGCTAGGAACCTACCTGCGTGTGATGAAGGAGCAGGTCAAGGCAGGAGTCACCCAGATGGTAGGTCAAGTTCAAGATCTTAAAAGGGCACTGTCCTGTTCCACTCTGTGCAGGGGTGGTGCCCATCTCCATTTCTGTTTCTCCATTTGTGTTGACCTTCCCAGTATTACTCTTTCTCATAGATGCTGAATGCTAGGCAGAGAAAGCAGTATGTACCATATTTAAAGTCTTTGGTATGACCTGGCTGTGGTTTGAACTCACGACCTCCCGGTTACAAAGCAAGCACTACTGATTGAGTCGATGATTATCATAATGAAGAAATTCAGCACAAGGTAGACTAGTTGTATGGCCACTAGCTTGCAGTGAGGAGGCCCAATTACCCCCATACAGCACAAGATCATCAAACCCTTGGGTAGGTGGTGTGCCTGCTATCAAATCCCCTGACAGTGACAGATTGCATAACACAGGCCAGCAACATAATCTTCAAACTTGCCTTCCTAATTTTTCTTTAGGTGGTGTGCATTGTACCGAACAATCGTAAGGACAGGTACGACGCAATCAAGAAGTTCTGCTGCGTGGACCAGCCACTGCCATGCCAGGTCATCATGTCTAGGACTCTGAGCAAGAAGCAGATGTTGATGTCTGTCTGCACCAAGATCGGCCTGCAGATGAACTGCAAAATGGGAGGAGAGCTCTGGGCCTTGGAGATCCCGGTCAGTAGAAAGAAAAGTTGATGTAGATGGCAACATGTGATATCGATCTCTATTTGTTTCCCATCAATGGTAAACTGTGTTGAGGTGACTAGCACACAAATTACCTGACTCATCTTTAAACACACACACACAAACACACACATACAATACACGGACACACATACACACACATACACACAGTCACACATACACACAAACATACATACACACACACACACACACAGTCACAAACACGCACACACACACAAACACACACACACGCACACACACACACACACACACACACACACACACACACACACACACACACACACACACACACACACACACACACTCACACAGACACACACATGCACACACACACGCATACACACACACTCACACACACTGACCAGTCCCTTAACTAGAAGCCTTAGAGACCGATTTACTGGTAAAATTTTACTGAATGCCTTTTCAGTTGCCGAGCCTGATGGTTGTGGGCATAAACATGTATCCGGACTCCCTGACTAAGGGCACATCTGTGGGAGGGTTTGTGGCCTCCATGAATCGGAACCTGACTCGGTGGTACTCCAAATGCACCATCCATAAAACTGGGCAGGAGCTTATCGACCAGCTCAAGCACTGTCTAGCGGGTGAGTTTTGTTTGTTTTTGTTTATTGCCTTTGCATTTGTTTGGATGGATGGATGGATGGATGGATGGATGGATGGATGGATGGATGGATGGATGGATGGATGGGTGGATGGATGGATGGATGGATGGATGGATGGATGGATGGATGGATGGATGGATGGGTGTGTGGGTGGGTGAATGGAGGGTGTGTGTTTGGATGTTAAAACAATCCATCAATCAACTTTATTGCTCAACAACTGTATGGCAAAGAAGAAACAACAGGGGTTGATACATAAACTAAACTAAAATACTATTCTAACAGAGCTAGTCCATAATGATACTAATCTATGAGTATTACTTTCTGTAATTTAGGAGATATGTCAGTTATTATATTTACAATATGCAGCACAAATGTGGTGTCATGTTTCTCCCCCCCCCCAGCCGCACTGAGCAACTACCAGACCATCAACAAAGAGTTCCCTCAGCGTATCATCTTCTACCGAAACTTTTCTATAGTTTACCTGCCCAGTGCCACACTGCCAATTCTCATGGGTTTAAGCAACACTGAATGTAGAAAAACTTCTAGTAACACCCTGGTGGGATTCTCTCCTTCCAGCTTCGCTCAGGAACTACCAAACCATCAACCAGGAGTTCCCTCAGCGTGTCATCTTCTACCGAGACTTTTCTATAGTTTACCTGCCCTACCACACTGCCAATTCTCATGGGCTTAAGCAACACTGAATGTAGAAAAACTAGTAACACTCCGGTAGGATTCTCTCCTTCCAGCTTCACTGAGGAACTACCATGCAATCAACAAAGAGTTCCCTCAGCGTATCATCTTCTACCGAAACTTTTCTATAGTTTACCTGCCCAGTACCACACTGCCAATTCTGATGGGTTTAAGCAACACTGAATGTAGAAAAACTAGTAACACTCTGGTGGGATTCTCTCCTTCCAGCTGCACTGAGGAACTACCAAACCATCAACCAGGAGTTCCCTCAGCGTGTCATCTTCTACCGAAACTTTTCTATAGTTTACCTGCCCAGTGCCACACTGCCAATTCTGATGGGTTTAAGCAACACTGAATGTAGAAAAACTAGTAACACTCTGGTGGGATTCTCTCCTTCCAGCTTCACTCAGGAACTACCAAACCATCAACCAGGAGTTCCCTCAGCGCGTCATCTTCTACCGAAACGTTTCTATAGTTTACCTGCCCTACCACACTGCCAATTCTGATGGGTTTAAGCAGCACTGAATGTAGAAATAAGACCCTGGTGGGATTCTCTCCTTCCAGCTGCACTGAGGAACTACCATGCAATCAACAAAGAGTTCCCTCAGCTCATCATCTTATACAGTAACTGAGACTTTTCCATAGTTTACCTGCCCTACCACACTGCCAATTCTCATGGGCTTAAGCAACACTGAATGTAGAAAAACTAGTAACACCCTGGTGGGATTCTCTCCTCCCAGCTTCTCTCAGGAACTACCAAACCATCAACCAGGAGCTCCCTCAGCGCATCATTTTCTACGGAGACTTTTCCATAGTTTACCTGCCCTACCACACTGCCAATTCTCATGGGCTTAAGCAACACTGAATGTAGAAAAACTAGTAACACTCTGGTGGGATTCTCTCCTTCCAGCTGCACTGAGGAACTACCAAACCATCAACCAGGAGTTCCCTCAGCGTATCATCTTCTACCGAAACTTTTCTATAGTTTACCTGCCCTACCAAACTGCCAATTCTCATGGGTTTAAGCAGCACTTCAAATGTAGAAATAACACTCTGGTGGGATTCTCTCCTCCCAGCTTCACTGAGGAACTACCATGCAATCAACAAAGAGTTCCCTCAGCTCATCATCTTATACAGTAACTGAGACTTTTCCATAGTTTACCTGCCCTACCACACTGCCAATTCTCATGGGTTTAAGCAGCACTTAAAAAGTAGAAAAACTAGTAACACCCTGGTGGGATTCTCTCCTTCCAGCTTCACTCAGGAACTACCAAACCATCAACAAAGAGTTCCCTCAGCGTGTCATCTTCTACCGAGACTTTTCTATAGTTTACCTGCCCTACCACACTGCCAATTCTCATGGGTTTAAGCAGCACTTAAAAAGTAGAAAAACTAGTAACACCCTGGTGGGATTCTCTCCTCCCAGCTTCGCTCAGGAACTACCATGCAATCAACAAAGAGTTCCCTCAGCGTATCATCTTCTACCTAAACTTTTCCATAGTTTACCTGCCCTACCAAACTGCCAATTCTCATGGGTTTAAGCAGCACTTAAAAAGTAGAAACTAGTAACACTCTGGTGGGATTCTCTCCTTCCAGCTTCACTCAGGAACTACCAAACCATCAACCAGGAGCTCCCTCAGCGTGTCATTTTCTACCGAGACGGTGTGGCGGATTGGCAGCTGGAGGCCTTATTGAAGGAGGAGCTGCCACAGATCGTGGACACCTTGAAGTCCCATGCTGAAGGATACGAGTGAGTTTGTTGGTTTATTGAGACTTACTGCATTTGTCGAAGGATTAAAATAACTATCACCTTTTCAAGATGACAACCCTGAGACCAGACTGTCAGGTTTGAACCATTCACACCGGGAAGAGTGGTCCCTACTATTTATGATAAGTGTGGTGTGATCTTAACATGCTTAAGGTGTGACTGCCCTAAAACATGGGACCTCCAACATGTCCAAGAGAACATCACTATAATTATGCAGGCATCAGGAGTATTTGTTAAGGAATATTACTAGTCTTATTGGTAATTTCTAAAATTTTCACAGTACTTCTAATGTTTGCAGTTGTCACAGTCACTTAAGCACTGGGAACTTATCATTACCGTTAACACATTACGTAGTTCACCATCTTTTCTACACCTGCCGCCACTGTCGCTGTGAATAAAAGTTTGGAATCCGTGCGTGAAACTCCTTGTTTCTTAAACTAAACTGTGAGCATCTGCCTTGGCCATGCCATGAACATAAAGTGAATTACTTTAACAGTACTAATTGACTCATCATCATCTCCGTTACTGCCCAGCCCTACCATGTAGGATTATTGGCAGCCGTTACGCATTGATTAGTTACAATTGTGACCCAGTACATAAAAACAAAGGTAAAACAAGGATAAATGAGAAGGGAACATAAGACAACTGATTTGTGTGTGCTAAAGACGGGACAAGTGCATTAGTGCGTTAGTAATATTTACATATATACAAGACATGATGGGGTGGCTCAATGCAGCAGGGTCCTCGCCAGTTCAGATTTGAACTGGGCAAGAGACCCCGCCTCCGCCGCACCAGGCTCGAGTTCATTCCATTCCCTGATGGTGCGGGGGAAGAACGAGAGCCTGTAGAAGTTGGTTCTGCTCGCGATGGCCTGCAACTCTTTTGTATAATGTTTATCTGTCGTGCTAACTGAGTGGTCACTCCTGTGCAGGCCCAAGATCACGTTCGTCATCGTGAACAAACGGATCAACACGCGGTTCTTCGCGCGTGACGGCTCCGGACTGCAGAACCCTCCGCCGGGAACCGTTGTGGATGACGAGGTCACCAGGCCGGAATGGTTTGTAGTAGTAGTTGTTGTTGCTGTACAGTGTCCTTGGGGGCCTGCAATGGGGGGTCCCGACAACGCTCTACGCTGAATTCGGAAACTTCTTGATTAAGCTTTACGATAAATTCCAAGTGGCCACAATGCATTACGTAGAATTAAAATGGACAAATATGCTGTACGCAAAAATACGCCAATTATGCTCTACATTGAATTAGAGCGGTCCGTCTACGCTCTACGTAGAATTAAAACGGCTGATTACGCTCTACGGAAAAGGGCTTGCGGGCCCTTTAATGTCTTACTTAGCTAGACTATCTCACTAGACATGGTCTCTTGGTGCTGGTTTGCTTGGTTCATGGTTCAGTCCAGAGTCAATCGTCTCTAAAGAGAGCACCTCAAATCGGGGCGTACTCTCGATGTACCGGTTGTAGTCTGGCTGTGTACCTAAATCAGGGCTGGGAATTACAAAATGTAGAAAGGAACAAATGTACGTAAATGTTACTGTGACCCATAGCTCTTTTGAGGCTGTATTTTTGGGGCAGTGGGATGTGGACACCAGGTTGAGACAAGATCATAGACTGTATGGTCTAGAAATCTGTACAATTTGGATTTTCCCAGACATCCTTCTTCTTTTTCTTCAGGTATGACTTCTTCCTGGTGTCCACCTCAGTGCGCCAGGGAACGGTCACTCCCTGCCACTACAACGTGGTGTGGGACACCTCTGGCCTCAAGCCTGACCAAATGCAGAAGCTCACCTACAAGCTCTGCCACCTCTACTACAATTGGCAGGTTAGGGTTTGTGAGCCTGTGTGTGTGTGAGTGAGTGTGTGCATGTCTGTGTGTGTGCGTTTGCATGTGTGTGTGTTTGTGTGTGTGTGTGTGTGTGTGTGTGTGTATGTAAGTATGTGTGTGTGTGTTTGTGTACACTGTGTGTGTGCACGTATGTGTGTATGTATGTGTGTATGTATGTGTGAGTGTGTGAGTGTGTGTGCATGTGAATGTGTGTGTGTGTGTGTGTGTCCGGTGTGTGTGTGTGCATGTGAATGCGTGCGTGTGTGTGTGTGTGTGTCTGTGTGTGTGTGCATGTGTGCCTATTACTGCTTTCCTTCAAACATTTGTTCATTCGATCATTTATTATTTGTTCTTTCCTTTGTTTATGCATTTCGTTTTATGTTGTTTCAGGGCACCATCCGAGTCCCCGCCCCGTGCCAGTATGCCCACAAACTGGCCTTTTTAGTTGGACAAAGCGTCCACACCAAACCTTCAGAAGACCTGGCGCAAACACTGTTCTACCTGTAGGTCACAGGTCACGACCAAAGGGTAGAGATCAGAGGTCACAGGTCACGACCAAAGGGTAGAGATCAGAGGTCACAAGCTGGGTTTCCACAGAGAACATGCATGTGATTTGAAAGTCTGGCAAAACTCCTTCGAACACTTTCCTTTCTCTAGTTTTGATAAACTTAAGTGAGTGAGTGAATAAGTGAGTGAGTGAATAAGTGAGTGAGTGAGTGAGCGAGTGAGTGTAAACTGTAAGGTTGAAGGTCTGATTTTCCAAAGGTAGAGTGTAGTTTTAACAAAATGAAAGAACCCAGAGTCTGTCCTAAGCTTATGTGTTATGTATATCTCTAAGGAGACATTGTTAACAAGTGAGATGTCTTCCAAGGTAACAGTATACAGCAGGGAAACAAAAGATACTACTAATTAAATAAACCTTTAATCATTGTATTAACTAACATAAACTAGCAGCAGATTTTATTGCAATCTCAGGGTGCTATATGCATTAACACAGTGGATATTTCCAATGGATCTAAAATTTGGATAGTAAATTTCTTACTTGCTATGTTTACTTCCGTTTGCATATTGTTTCTGCTCTGTAATAATGACCCAGACTAGATGTCTGTCACCATGGTGACTTGCTGCTGTAGCAGACATCCAGTGGTGGTGGGTTACATTTGCAATAAAGTTCTATCTTCCAAAACTATTGATTGTTTGTGTTGTTTGTTTTTCTGATTGCAAGATGTGGGGGAGTGACAGAGAAGGCCAAAATCGAATTTTGACATCGGAGACCCTGTGTAACTTAGTCTCTACCAGACTCCTTTGCAGGCTGAATAAATAGTAGAAATCGGCAAAGGGGGAAATCATTGGCCAGAGGAGTTGGCCGGCCAT